CAATTCCCAAGAAAAGTACAGTCTGCACCCCAGACCTGAAGTCAGAGGTAAAACTCTCATTTGTGCAGACCTGTGTCAGGTTCTGGTTGTGGTGCATGGTTGATGCCCAAGCTCTGGGCTTTGCTGGGGTGTTCCTACCCCAGGACAAACCTTCCTTCCCTTTACAAAAAGTTTTACATTTCTCAACATCTGTCAGAGTCAGGATGTCTGGGATTTAAATTTTACTAGGGGATTTAGTGCTCCTGCAATGCATGTTGGAAAGATCGACTAGCACAAAAAAAAGAATTTTATCTGTTAACCTCTTTGCATGAGGCCAATTAGAGGTTTTATTTCCACTCATCCTCTGAATTCAGCTATTTGAATGTAAATTACTTTCATTCAAACACGCAGATTTCATCAGCTGTCCCAAATCTCAAAATGCAATTCTTATTATATACATGCTAAGGTAAGAACTGAAAATCTGCACTTCAAATTATTTCTTATGTGAAAAGAAATACAGCCCAAAATAACCAAGCAAACTAAGTCACAACTCACTGTGCTTTCCACACTTAATGAAAGTAAATTTAATGAAAGTAAACTTAATGAAAGTAAACACTTCTCAAAAGGCACATGGCGAGATGGTTTAAAAACAATGAAACTGTCAAGTCATGTTTTTTTGAATTGGGCATTTAAGGTACAGATCCACACACAATTCTGAATGAATGCATAGAGCCCAGTACCTAAAAACAGAATAATGCTATGTGCTATGCCACAATTCATTTATCTACCTTCCTCACTAAATAAACTTAAAATAAACACATCCTCCCTCCCTGCCTGGTGGTGCTTAGAGAACAGCTTCCTGTACCTCAGACACCCATTGTTCTTGTTTCACAGGTGCTTCCTCTCTCCCTTCCACCCAAAGAACTCTTTCACAAGCCAAATTCCAGTTTCTTGTCACTGCATGAAGTGGATACAAGCATAACTGGATGTTGTAAAAAAAGATGGCACAAAGTTTATAAAGAGAAACCTCAATGCTCATACCCCTCTAAACTGTAACAAATCAAAGTGAGAATGAAGGAGAGCAGGCTTGCAGGTCTTCTGTCATGTGCATGGCTCATTATGTGCCTTTGAAGAGTGAAGCCTGCTGCTTTCAGAACCTGAGGTTCATGCAAGAATCTTTGCAGACATTGAGGATTCAACACAAGTAAAACTCCATAGCTCAGCTCTTTCATTTGGGAGAACATGTAAGTTTTATGCTGACACTCTCCAAAAGTGATGACAAACCTGAAGAATGTCAGTGCTTCAATTACCAACAGGTCTAACTCGTTATGTCTAGACTGGGGGACACCAAATTTCCAGATTCCTGAGTCCAAATGTGCCTCATGCCACTCCTCAAACCTCCTCAGGGCAGGACTTGGGTGTGCACAGCACTGAAACCCCCTGGAAAGGAAACGGTGGAAGGTGCAGCATCCTCCCAGGCACTCCTCATCCAGACACTCCGGAGCCACAAACTGCTCCTGCATTTCAGCACACTCCCATAGGGCTGCTGAGAAACTCCTTCCTCCCTGGCCTCATTTCCTGCACCTCGCTGCTGACTCCCAGCATCCTACCACAGACTGTGGCAGCTCAAGACACAATCCCATTTAACCATACCCTTTTTCCAGTCCTCTTCATATTTATTAACATTTAATACATGCTTTCCTTCAAAACACCTAAGTAGGAATTTGATAAATCCTACTGTTCCAGTTCCTCTGTCCCTGCAAAGACACCACCTTCTTATGCCTCCCTATAAAACTTCCCAGCCAAAGCACCACTATTTCCTACCCTTCAACCCCTGCATCTCAGTGAAGCAGCTGCACTGTTGTTATGACAGTGATGGTCTGCACCTTTGATTTTAGGCTGCCATTATAAGAATAGTCAGTTGAATTCCAGTGTCATTTCAACCTACTTCTCTAACAGGTATTTAATATTAAGGGGATACTTAAGATCTGATATCTAGTATGAAAGGGATGCTGTATAAAGTAGAAATATCTGGCAAATTCATCATTTCAAATTTACCATTCAACATTACTGGAGAACCTTTTAGCAGTTCCAAAAGCACATGGTTTAATTTGCTAGGACAGAAGGTGAAGGTCACCTAACCAGCTGCGTGATTTGTCTGAAAAACAGATTTAAAAAATATGCAGCTATTTGGGTCCTTTAACCACAAATTAATTACAAAGCCCTTGTGGTCTCCCATCACCTTGAACAAGGAATCAGTGATGAACCAGCAAGAAGCATTTAACTCACTGCAGGTTAAAGATAATTCAAAGAATACTTGACAATCCTATCACAGGCCACAGTGCAGCTTTATCCTTGCATTTCCTCCCTATGCTGAAGGTGCAGCCTTTTCCCCAACTCACAGGAGACCCAAAGACCCACGTGTCACACACAAACACTGCACCAAGTGCAGAGATTGCAGTAATTAGGGGAGCACAAATGCATTTTCTTATCAGAGTATCTTCAAGCATCTATTTTTATCAGCTGCTTAGACACTGTAAATTCCACTGGTTTTCTTCCCCTCAAGAACACATGTCTACAGCAAGGCATTTAATTGTTCTGCCCTCGGTTGGAGATAATCAGGTAGCATTACCTGGAGCAGAGAGTCACTGGTTTATGCTGGGCAGGAAACTCAGCTTCCAATCAAAGCAGAGAGGAAATTTTAAAAATGGCAGGTTTTGAAGCTAATTTGAGAGGGGGGGTAGATGTGTGTTTGGGTCTGTTTAGTTTTTTTGTAACATGGTCATGTATAGATTTGAAAATATTTCTATTTCTCCATGAAGCAGAAGTTTCATTTCTTGTGTTCTCTCTTGAAACAGAGACGAGGAAGCACCTGGTGCATTCTTCTGTTCCTGTCAACTATTGACACCACCTACAGACTCCCATTCTACAAGGACACATTTTGCTCAGAAATTGAGTTAACTGCAGCACTAAAAATAGAGCAACACAGAACAAAACTCTGCAAATTAATTCCTAAACTCCAAAATATCTAGTTTCTCTTCAGGGTGTTTACATAACCTTTGTTTTCCTGTGATTAGTGGTAGTCACCTACCAGTCCAGCCTGGCCAAACAAGAGCTGCACAGCAGTTTTGCAGGCTCCTCTCCACGTGGAAGGGCAGACCTGGTTCAGTACTTCAGTCACAGGAGAGTCGTCACGGGGTGTGAGTCCATTATGGCATCCAGCTTCCTTGATCAACTGCAGCATTGTGTGCTGGAAAAATAATAAACACTCTGTGCTACCCAACACATGATTTACAAATGGTATCACCAATGCTTCCAGATGGATTTGTCGTTGTTCTACACACTTTTCAAACAGCTATAATGTCTGCAACCTCTGAACAGTCTTATATAACGAGGAGAGTTCCACTGCAGAACAGAAATATGGAAGATTGTCTCTGCTGTTTGGAACACAATCCTGTTCCAAAATCATAAAACACTATTTCTGCTTATATTCTGGCAAACCAGTTTAATCAGAACTACAAAAAGCACTGCAAAGACAACAGAAGAGCAGCATTTTGAGCAACTTATTATTTCAACTCTTTCAGGAGCAAGGAACTAGGTTTATCTAAAAAAAAAGTGGAAGTGTTGATTAAAATTGCCCAAATTACTTCTGAATGGACATATTTTCCATTTGTTTATACTGACACTACAATTAACTTATCCATAATTTAAAATTCTTTCTAAAAAATTGATTCCAGTTTGTAAGATGACATCAACATGAGTTCTGTTACAAAGTACTTTTTTCAAGTACCTCCCTTAGCACCAGGCTGGGCTGACTTATTTTGGCACCTAAGGAGATGAAGGCTCTGACATGCATCACCTGGCTGGGGAATCTGTAAGGGCTCACTTTCTTCTCTACTTCCTCACACCTAACACATCTATTTTCAAATGTTCACAGATGCTTCATTGCCTCCTAGATCTCTATGCCTGTGCCTCTCTCAGATTGGACTGAAATTGCTCAGATGGTCAAAATGTTACCAGGAACAGGCGTAGCTCTACAATGTTATCAACATCGTGTTTCCACAGGAAGCCAGGCTGAAAAAAAGCACTTTCAAACACAGCTTTGGCACAAAACCTCTATTACTGTTGTTCTCTACATTTTAATGAATTCTACTCCTTCTCCCCCATCTTTACTTCTGTGGTTAATTAGGAGTGATTACCGTTTTCAGCTTCAGGTTTTCTGCTGCAGACTCATTGAAGGAGATTCCTTTCAGAAAATGGGACCCGATCTGGACAGGGACAGTGGGCAGCTCACACTGAATGGGCTGAGGTGGAGTCTGTCTCCTTCCTGTCTGCTGGGCTTCAGCTTCACTGCAACAGCCCTGAAGTACAGAACAGATCAAACAGAAGGAACTAAGACATTAGAAACTCCTAATATGGGTCCAAATGTTTGTGTATTTTAAGTACCCATTTTCAAGTGAGGAGGGATGAAAGAGAGGAGGATTAGCAGATCCTACCTGAAGACTTGCTTCAATTGCTTTTGGGTTCAAGTGGAAGCCAGCCTTCATTGCATATTCACAATGACCCAAGCTCTCCAGGGCCACTTTGTAAGCCTGACATCAAACAAAAAGTTGAGATAGCACAGGCGTATCAGCAAGGAAGCAAGCACACAGTCATTGTGTCTGGGTACAGACAGGGATTGGTACAAGGATTTACCCCACTCAGTTCTATGGCATACACACATTTATCATGGAAGATTCCAAAGCTGTAATTCCCAAATACCTCTGAGCTGTCTGTGGTACACAATTCTGCAGGAACACACTCCTTCCCTATTTCACTCCTTGACCCACTGACTGTACTACATGCACATGAAAGCAGCAGACTTGAAAAACCACCTGCAAAGCACTGTCAATTTTCATGTTTAGCTCTTTGAGCTGATGTTCAGGGATGGCCACACTCTGTGAGCAGAAAAGTTGCTGAACTTCAATTCCTGCCAAACATCCATCACAGCCTCTTTCTCGCAGTCGAGATGTGGCCTGTAATGTAAAATAAAAATCCAGGGTGAGGAAGGTCAGCATTAAACCAGGTCAAGGCTTAAATAGACTTCAAAAAAGAGCAAAAAAGTCCTTTAAAGGGGGCTTTAAACACAATACAGACTTTAAAACCTTCTACAGGAAATAAGAAGCAGCACCTGGGGGAAAGGACCTGGAGACTTTATTATAACTTACTCAACTTCTACTGCCACTTTGGAAGCAGAACTCTGACGTAACCTGCACAGCACATGGGTGTTGGCCAGCACTTGGGTTCAGCATTGTTTGCTGTTACTATTTCAGCTCCCTCTCAGGACCAGGGATCCTGTTACACAGACCACACCATGGCTGTGGTTACCTGAGGACAGACTTGGAACTCCAACATAAACAGAAAATATGGTACACCATGTGTACAAGCACTCCTGTGTTCATGGGATGATACATTTCATAAACTTAAGGGTGATTACTGCGGTGCAATTTGAGAAGAGCCACACGATGCTAAGATCAACTTAGCACAGCAAGAAAATAGCTTTGTGTAATATGATTTTGAAAAACAAGAAATAAGCCAAATATCTACTTTTAGCTGTAAAATCCTACATCAGTGAGCAGGGTAAAGCAATTAGATGTGGGTTATTTTCCAGTCTAGGAGGGAGTCTTGCTCTAAAGCAGGATGTCCAAACTGGGGGGTTCTGGTACTACAGCCAATGGACAGACATGGGCTCACCTCATGGACAGAATTACTGCATTTCCCAAAGCAAATCTTAAAGAGCAAAACCAGTTTTGAGCTACTGACAAAGAATCACCTTAAACATCACTCTGAAGCAGCAGCGCTCTCCTGCCAGAGAGGCTGATTTTATCAGAAAACAATGGGTTGCCTTCCACTCCAAAGTAGAGATTGACAAATATTTCAGTATTTCAAATCCCCTTTCTATTAAAATTATTTGTATTAGTCTATCTGCAATTATGAGAGAGATATTTTGTTTATTTAAAAACCAAGCATTTTTCTTATGCTACCCTAATACCTCACACAGATACCCCAAATCAGTTATTTCAATCAATCATAAAAACTGAGATGTGTCTTCTATTGTTATTTTGGAACTATGGAGAATCTCTGTTTTATCTCTCTCCTCCCCATGTATGTTTAATACAGGATTTGATTAGTACAATACTTGTACAAGATTCTTTTGAAATACTGGTTTTGTATTTCTAAAAAACAAATAGGTGAAGTGGGTTGCTCAAAAGCTAAAAAAAAATCAAGTTAATGTTCTCTGTGAAGCCAAGTTTAATTTTAATCACTGCTTAAACAAATTTGATAGCAATTGCAGGGCATTTCTAGAAATTGTTGTAGTTTTAAGAAGCTAAGTGTCATACACATAAAATTAACTCCTTCTATACCACAGAAGTACAGCTATACCAAGATTAGACCTGTTACAATTACCTGTAATACACCTAAAGCACTCCCAAATCCCAGTTTTATCCAGTAAAATAAATTTATGCTGTAGTAAAAAAATCACACATAATCCCTCTGCATTCATGCAACTCATCAGCTTTCCTGTACCTTGCAGATGTCAGTGAGAAATGGAGACCTTGACAAGATTTCCAGTCAGGATGACTAACAAGCCATGTGGGCAAATGAGACTGCAAAAGCACATGCTCCAAGTCATCTGAATTTAGGGAAAACACACACTCTGTGTCTGAAGCCATTCTGATCTATCAGGTCCAGACTTCAACAGTGCCAGGGAAAGCAGAAAACCTCATAAAACTGAGTGTCTTTATAAAGTACTGGTTTTGGCTGGCAAAGGATTCCACAGATGACAGGTGATTGTGAAAGTACAAGTCCTGAGAGTGGCACATTTAAGTAACATGGGTCATATTCCAACAGTGGATGGATGAAGTAACATCAAGCTCACCAGCATGAAGACAAAAGTGTTAAAAATTACCACAAAGATTTTGAAGCATAAAATAGAATTAGTGCTCAAAATTTCAGAGAAATAGACAGTATCTAAATTATTTTTTCATCAAGATTTTGCTCTGTTTTCACAAAGACTCGCTGAGGTTTTTATTTTTAATTCCCTCTGTCTGCCCTATTTGAACAGTGGCAGTTCATTACCAATAACAAAAATCTGTTTGCACTGCTTGTGTGCTCCTTATGCACAACCCTACAGCAAAGAAAACTTTACACAGGGCAAAGATAGTGCACTCATCCCATGAGAAAAATGAGTTTTAGTGTCTGAAACCAGCTGTGCCACATTTCCCCCTCCAAATGCAGCATGTCTTTAAAATCAGCTGTTTTCTTCCTTTGTTAGGACACCCAGGTTAACCTTAGGTTTCACTAAATCTGCTGTGCTTACAGCAAGACCTCCTCACCTCTGCTGCTCCTCTCCATGATCTTATTGCATCTTCCAGCTCATTTGTGGGGCTTATATTTGAGGCTCCAGTCCCACTAACGTTCTTCCTCTCCTGAGCCACAGCTTCAGCAAAGCAGGAGTGTGCCACAGGCTGGACTTTCTGCAGAGCTTGTGACAGGAATTGGAAGTGGACCTGCATCACTGTCAAGAAACATCGCCCAAGTACCTGTGGGAGACAGACAAACCACATAGAACACACACACGTGTTTCAAGCACACGGAAGAGCTCACAGAAGTTTCCCTTCTTCCTTTCTGTTTGGTGTTTGGGGTAAGGAACTATGTTAAAGTCTGGTCTTTTCTTATTAAAATAATGCTTCAGATTGTAAGATATGATATTCAACCATTTACTTAAAATACAAATGAGCATTAGTTTCTATGAATGAAGGGGACATTCGGAGTCATTTTTAGTTCTGTACTCAAGTTCTGACTACTTGACAAATGAGAAGCTTGCTCAGTTACTTGGCAAAATCAAGCACAAAAGTGGGAGTAGCATATTATCACAAGGACCAGGTCAACACCAAAACCCATCTGCACAAAGAGCTGGCTGAATTTCTCATAAAAACCCAAAGCAGCAACAACAAAACATGAATAACTGATAAATGATGAATAAAATGATACTGCACTGGGACACTGCACTGGGGGACACTGCACTGGGGGACACTGCACTGGGGGACACTGCACTGGGGGACACTGCACTCCTGCCAAGCTCCCTCAGGGAGGCCAGGCCAGGCCAGGCCAGGCCAGGGCAGGGCAGGGCAGGGCAGGGAGGCTCCCTGGGCTGAGGACAGGCGATGCCATCCCCCACTGGTCCCCCCAGCTGTGCCCAAGGACACTGGGGCCCCTTGGGTGGCAGCAGCACAGCAGAGCCTGCTGTGCCAGAGGTGCAGGGACAGCAGCCAGGGACACCCTGGAGAGCCAAAGGCTCCAGCAGGAACGCTCCATTCGGGGCCACGCTCCCCAGGCAGGAAAAAGCTGACAACCAAGTGTACAACTAGAGAGCTGCAGAGAAAGAGGGATTTTCCAAATCACAGCAGAAAGTATTTAAAAACTATTCAAAGTGTTTCTTTTATGGAGTTTATCACATGAAGTGCTTTAAAATGTGTATTTGACTTGGATTTATTAAAAAAGAGTCAACTCCAATTCCATTTTAGGAATAATTCATAAAACACACAGATAATGTACAAAGCTATCATGCCTTGGAGGCATTAAATCATCTGCCTTATTTTCAGCTACATTCTTCTGGACCAGAACTATTCAGACACAATGTATCTTCCTGGCAGGACTCTCCAGTCACAGGAACAGCTACATGCATTTACTATCTACTTCCGAAGAACCAATGGTGGCAATGCTTTTTTCCACTGCATCCAGACTCCTTTTGACATTCCATTCTAGTTCAATCACTTCCCTTCTTTGTACAAGGCATAAAATTAAACATTTTTGGTACTTTGACTGACCTCTGAAAGTGGAGCTTGCCTTATTAAAAAAAAAAACAGTCAGCAAATGATAAAATGAAGAAAACTCCAACTTTCCTGGGTATGAGATTATAAAGATTTATAAAAAAACTGCAGGAAGAGGCAACTGGTGATCTGAATTATTTCTGTGTAGGAAGAATGCAGTTCTCAGGGGAAGATGAAACTAGTACTCATTAGGAATTTCCAGCTGATTAAATTTCAAAGAATATTTAAGGTACAAAGGTTGAAGTTTCCCCAGCCTGGGAATAATGCTCAAAATAAACAAATGATTCAGGTTTTAAGTGGCAGCACACAACATTCCTATTATAACTTACAATGTTAAACAGTGAAGATAAATAGTAACATCTGCTTTACTGAACTTTTATTTTGTTTGAAAAAAATACATTTCAGCTTTCCTCCAAAATGAGTAAGAATGGTTTAAACTTCACTATCAAAGTGGTGGAGGATTTCTGTACTGTTGAACACCCCCTTTGGATGGATGGCAGATGCCAAACTCACTTTAAAGAGCTTTAAAGAGCTCACTTGGTCAGATTTTCTGCCCAAGAGCCCAAAGTTTGCCTTATCCATGGGGAAGGCAGTGAGCTCCCCCAGGCAGGGCTGGGCACTGACCCCTGTGCAGAGCAGCACAGGGAACCTCTGCTGCACATCCCTGCACCAGCACATGGAAAACATGCAGTTTTCCTCAGCTAGAGACACCACCATGTCTTTTTCAAGTTTATTTTCCCTGCTTTCCCATGCAGAAGTGTGTGACTCTCCTCCTTCAGACCAGAATAAACACAAACCCTACAAACTGTGCAGGAATCAAAGCTGAAATGGAATCATCTCAGGTGTCAAACAGTGAGATTTCCTTGGGAGTGGTGATGTTTTCTTAATTTCATAGATTCATTTACATTGCATAAACAATGAGGTCTTCAGCATCCAAATTTTTTGTCCCACAGAACACAGCTCGACCTCCCTGACCTCCATCAGGCAGGACAGATGTCTGCCTGTCTCAGCAGAGCCTTACCTGAAGGAATCTCTCTTTTCCTGCTGAGGCACTTACAAGAAATGGGATTTTTGGTTCCCTACCAGCAGGAGCACCAGGTGTGATGCAGTGTTAGGTTACTCTGTCCCACTTTATCCTCTTCATGGGGGCACACAATCAGATTTGGAATATCCCACTGGACAAAGTGTACACAAAATTGCCAGTTTTCATTGCTAAACAGGGATGCCATACAAAATTGCCTGGCAAGAAAATCTTGTACAAGTTTCCTTAAAACAGAGCACTACCAGTAACAAAGTCAGCAAATAACAAGTGTCAGTCTTCTACATTTGATACATATGCTGACTTGCAGTTCTCCAAATACCATTTTATGCAGTAGAACTTTCTTCTTCTTTCCTTTTTTTTTTGGCTATTTCCTTAAACGAGCAGAATGCTCAAAAAGCCAAACAGCACAACAGAATTACTCAGTGGTTTCCATTAACAGTGTCCTTAGTGGCACAGCCTGGCTGCCACTGAACTGCTGTGCCCCATTACAAGCCAAGAACCTTCCTGTACATCACCAGAAGTGGGCAGAATATTATTCATTTTCACTCTGTAGCAGACCCCTGCAGTTCCAAAGAGCAATCTCATGAACAGAACACCTCCAAGGGAAGGCTTGGTCCTGCCCATAGGTGGAATCATCTGCAGGCTGAATTCCAGCAGAATCTAGTTCAACAGACTCATTTCTTCCAGCAGTGACCCTAAAAGCCACTCATGATAATCTGATCTTGACAGCTAGTGGTCACTATCATTTAGCAAAAAAAAAAAACTAACAACATTTAAGTGTGAAGCATTTTAAAAATAAAAAGCAGCAATTAAAATGTAAGAAAAAATTTTTTTTGCTTCTAACAGTTCCTCAGTTCAGAAGAGTCTGGAAGCAATCACTGAAAATTCCAGGAAAGACTAATTTAAGAAATAGTGAAATTGGGCTTTACAATGTTTGCTAAGGAAAGCCTACATTTAATATTTACTTAGACATTTTGTCTCACATTTTGTTCAAAAATTCTTAGGCTATTTTATACACACAAAAGCCAAAAATTATCTCCATTTAATACAGAACAGAGCATCCAAGAATATATCTGGTGCCTATCTGTGCTTCCTTTTTGTACAGGAAGGCAACATTCCCCTCATTACTACCACTTCTAAGACAATTCACAAGCCCTGTGTAGCTAGCAGTCATTCTTTATGTATTTTGCAGTACTCAGGCTTCTCCAAAGCTTCATAAGAGATGGGGAAATATACTTACTTCTACCACTTTTACTTCTCCCTATGGATTTGCTTTAATGCTTTTATTAACAGAAGTACAGAGTTACTGCATTCCCCCAGCAGACAGATATGGAAAACACCCTCTCATTTACCCTGATTTCCAAGCTGTTCCTCCTCACCCATACAGGCACAGAATACCCAATAATTCAAAGGTGTTTGAAAGAGGAAAAGAGAAAGAAGAATATAAAAATCAGCATTTGCATTTCTGAAATTAAGAAACCTTGGGAAACTCCATCTGTCACCACACTTTGATCAAGAGAAGTCACCTCCTTACACAGCCTGGCAGACAGTTCTGAACCAGCAAGCTTTGTTCTAAGTAACAATAAATAAATTAAAAACCTCATCCTGTGGTGCTATCATCCAGGCTGCATAAAAGTTTTCTGCCCAAATTCAAGTCAGGTATGTTCACCAAAACTGAAGTTTTCCTGACATTGCCTTCCCTGGGGGGCAGAGCTCAAGATGTGTGGAACCCCAGAAAAGCCACAGCTCTCTGCTCAATTCCTAAAGACAAACCTGCTGAGCTTGGACTTCTCATTCCTCCCAAAAACTACAGCCTGTGTTAAGCAAGGTTTAGGAAAATTGCATTTTCCTTAGCTGGGCTCACACACAGAAAGTCCCATTCTCATGTCCTTCTCATGAATTTGGGGTTCTGCCCCACTGCACCCTGAGCTCAAGTCACCTCCTGTAACAGCAGCCTCCATCCCTCCCACAGGAGCCCTGCAGGGCCATTCTCAGAACTGCTGAGCTGCCACTGGGGTGTTCCCCCATCTCTCAGGGCTGTGAGCTCTCTCAGTCACCCAGCAGAGAAGCTGACAAAGCAGCTTCGGATACACCTGCATTCCCCTCCTGGTATTTTCCAGGGGAACAATTATGCTGCCTCACACTCTTCCCCCATCACTTCCCTGTTCAGCAAACTCTGATGAAGTCAGGCAAGCCCTTTATGTTTTTCTGCTTACACTGTGAGATTTTTAATCCTGCTGGCAGTTTTATGAAATGT